TAGCTTGAGTCCTCTTTTACTCAGCTTCTTCAGCACCTCCTCTAGGACTACCAAGTGCTCTCCAGCGTTGTTGTTACTATCAGAATTCATCAGTGTACACGAATACTTTGTCTCCTAGTAATCCACGAAATACCTTCTCTATCAAGCGTTCGAAAAATGGCGGTGATGTCGATAAACCAAAAGGCAGTACATTAAATTCATAATGCCCATTTAGCTTTGCGAACGCAGTTATGATTTGCCAGTATCCGGATATCATATCTAATTTTTAAAACCACTTCTTACCTTCCAAGCTGTGCCGCATGCTGTCAGTGTGCGGCAAAGGATACGCATCAGCTGCTATAACCTGACTGACTTTTCTGTAGTCCACGCAGAATCGCAACGTTCCATCCTTCTTCCGCACGAGTACCACAGGACTACTCCACGGACTATTGCTCTCACGTATTACTCCTCGTTCTAAGCAATCATTCAACATAGCTCGAACTTGCGTCCGCAATGCTAGCGGAATGGGTCTCTGCGCCTGTTTTATTGGTTCAGCATTCCCTATACGAATCTCATGTTCTGCCACATCCGCTTGCGTCAGATCGGTAACGTCCATCGCCCAAGCTTCAAAATAATTTTCTATAAGTCTTCTCGTACTGACTTTATTCTTCTCTATCATCTCGAGCGAGTTGACTCCTAAGAGACCACATAGTTTTTCCATTCTACCTATCAGTTCTTCAGTGCTGCCCTCCGGTTGCGATGATCCTTCGCTTTCCACTGGATTTTTAACTTTGGCCCTAACTACTTCCACCTTATTCAACATTCCTAGCTCCTCTTCTGTGCAATTCGACTAAAGTCGTTGTTGTTCCTCAGCTCCACCCAAATTTTCTGCTTATCCACCTTTACGAGCCCTTCCTGCACTCCTTCTTGTTTCGGTGATAAAAGACCCCAGCTCAAATTATCCTCGTTCACTTTGCCTTCAATCCGTTTTGAACATCGCGGTGGAATCAGCACTTGTTTCAAGCATACTGTTGCCAGTGACTCCTCCCTGTTATCTTCCAATACTTTCAACATCTCCTTACGCCACCGATCTGAAGCAGCTAGTGCGTTTGTCCCTAGCACCAGCTCCTCCTCACATTTTACCGGAACCTGAATGAAAACGGTAACCTGTCGTTCCTCTCCAGCCCAGCTCACCAATAAGCATATCTTCCTCAGTATTCCGATAGAGTTGCCGGACGCGTCTCTGATATTCTCGTTACTGCCTCGCATGTACTTATACCATACGGTCGGATCACTTTCTCCCAAGCGTATCAATGTGTTTAGAGATACCACCGATACCACTGCCCCAGTATCAATAAGCGCTGTGACCGGCACCTTCTCAACTTGCACTGTTGCCAAAGTCTTTTTTCCCAGCGCATTAGTGTCTAGATCAGGAGTGTTATCCTCGTCCAACTTAAATATTTCCCCCACAACCTCATCTGCTTGCTTCATTTCACTGCCCTCGCGTTCCGCGATAACCTTATGTATTGATGCTGAAGGGCACACCTCGGCGATATAACTAAGACCTTTGCATACAAAACATCTCTTCAAGCTGTCCTTATCCTGCTTTCGAACTTTTCTTATGTTCTTCCCTCCTCGTTCCGACGAATCCTTTCTTACATCCTTACCGGGGTTCATCGCCATCGTTTTACGATGCTCGAACGATTGGATGCGCTTCTCAAAGGCGTCTTTGCTTTCCAGGGTAATAGCCCTGGCCTGAGGTTGCGCGCTTCTGCCTTTACCATCCCGAACATAACGCGAATTCCTTTTCCAGTTTTTTGGACAAGTCGTAGTCTAACGCTGCTTCTTTCAGAGCCTCATACGTCCTATTAATTGGCGCTTTTGAGACCGCTGCTAGTACTCTAGCTCCTAACTCATTGTCCATGCTCAGAGCTTTGACTGCGATACCACACTTTCGTCCCGCGATGAAATTTTGGTCAGAATATAAAGTGGCGGGATATGCGCCCGCCACTTTTCTACTCAAGTACGCGAAAAATTAGCACAGTCCTTCTCTTCGCCATTCTATTTGCGAAGTCCCGACGCACTAATCTTTGAATTATCTGTCAGCACCTCACGAAGAGCATTTACTACCTCGGCGAACGTACCTCCTTCCCGAATAAAGCCGGGTATTCCTAGAAAAACGTCTCGAGCAGAGCCTGACAGGAAGGCTTTCAAATACCTTTTCTTCGTTCTGTCTGTTTCACCTTCAAACCGCAACTGAAATTCTTCCATAAAGTCTTAAAATTTCAGCTCGCTTTTCCCATTTTTCCACAGA